GGGGGGGTCGTCGCATGGTTTACTCACCTTTATGAGGAAGGAAATTGTGATGAATATAGAAAAGATAAACATGCCGCCGAGGCCGTAAAGTCATCAACACCATAATTTTATTCACATAAAAGAAAAAATTAATTATTAAAAATGTAATAAGTATTGCTCGGTGAAATGGTTCAATTTTCAGCTCATACAATCTCCCCGAAAGTCAAAAGAGAGAAACAGTAAAAAATATTGTGTCACAGTCATAAAGTCCATTATTTTCACCCTAGTTTGCTGTTGCTCATGAAATACGCACATCACATTACCCCTGCATCGTTCAAACTTAAATTAGCTTGTACCAGATTCATCCAAATGTTATCCAAGAGAATCGTTGTTTCAAAAATTCAAAGAGGACACACACACGTGGGATACATCGCTTCGCTACTGTTGCTAAAGCATCTCGAGTGTATCATTAAAATTGCATGGTAACTGCGAAACTTGAACACGCAACATGGAGGGGATCACGTAAATATTTCCTCCAAACCAAATTTCGAGATACTTTTTACTGGAGCATTGGTTTGGGAGTATAAATTTGTTAAAAAATCACACGTGTTGTGGGACGAAAAGAAAAAAATATTTTTTTTTAATGCCCCGTATTAATCTATGTATCACGTGAAAAAAGCTTACCTTCATGGTCGGGAAGATGATGCCAACGAAAAAGTTGGCCGTCCAATTGACGAGAACGGCGATGGACATGGCAGCCGGTCTTGGGCCCTGGGAGAACAGCTCGGCCGTGATCATCCAGGGTATCGAGCCCGGGCCCACGGCAAAGAACACGACGAAGCCGAGGATCGAGACGACCGCCAGGTATGACATCCAATCCGTCATTTCCTGTACGTAACCGAAAAACTCCTATCAGGCGAGTAGAATCGAGTTCTCCTTTCGTGAACCCAGTCGAAGGAGACTCGCGAGGTATTTGGCAATAAAAGGACTGGCATGTAAGTATTGCAAGAAAATACTTTTACGTCAACGATAAATCATAAATAAAGTGACATGCGATGCATTGCTCAATCCTGTAGGAAATCATGCTCGATACCTCTCTTTATTTTTTTTTACAAATATTCGAGTGATTTTTCGACAAGCACGTGGTTCTTTTTTTCTTCATCACTATGTAAGTTTTAATAGATTTTTTCATGGATACGCGTACACGAATCCGTTTCCTCCATACCGAAGTCACCCGAATGATAAGAATATCAAAAATCGTCTCAACCAATGAGCTCGAATTAGAGATTTTTAGGTGTACAATGACATATACATATACCAATGTGTCGATGTAACAATAAACCAAGAGCCACCAATGGCATATAGATAAAGTGTTGAACGATAGAGCGTGGTTAGTAATTTATTGTTAAATTCAATTGCAATTATAAAGTAACTGAAGTTTCTGTTCGTGTTTTTAATTCGACAACTATCAATGGCTTAACGTAAACATTGTAAGGTACTATATTGATACGAGATGACGCATTGTGTTAGACACTTGACAGTTCAATTACTAATCGCAACTTCTCTCCCATCACCATCCGCTCGTTATTAGTTTGTTAGTCCCAAAGCCCCGAGTCATTGAGGTAGATGATTGCACATACGGATGTTTTGTTTTTCTTTACTATGAAAAAATGTAACTGGATACAATGTAATCACACAGGATTGATGCACAAAACGTAATACTAATAGCTTCAAAATTTTTTCGTGAAAGTTAGCCTTTGAAAAATGAAAGATGCCAAGTGGATAACGTGTGTTATACATTGTACGCAAACAGGTTTGAGTGAGCTGAAAATTAAAATGTTGGTAAAAGTGCAAGAAAAGCGGTAGATTGCGATCTCCTCCATACTGTTCACGAAAGAGGCTGGCGATGAAGGGGCGGGGAGCAGGGAAGGAAGAGGGAAAACCAAATCATGAGGTACATATGAGGATGGGTTGAAACGAGAAATTTTCAAGATCACGGTTAGTGGTTTCTTTCCCCCTCTGACTTGCGATACTTGAAATTTTGGAAAACTGCATTGATTCTTTTTCCGAACTCCATCGAATATAGTTCTTTTTGCATTGTCTGACTATCGGTTTCAACAAAATTTCAATATTACATCTGTCGTGTTTAATGAAGGATAAGTGAAAGCCCTTGACTTAGATTTTTCTTCGCAAACTTAAATAAAAAAAACAAATATCTCGGTTTGGAAAAATACTTTACACGAGGTAGAAAATAATGGATTGTCGGGATTTATTGTTTCAATAAATAAAGCTAATGCTATTTCCAAAAGGGTCTAAATGTGATCTTGAATATTTTTGAACTAAAATTCAACAAATGTTGTATTAAGGTTGGCATGCGGGCGACGGAGGGGAATCCTTAAACGCTACATGAATGATAAGGATCAACCAAAAATGAATATCGTATGTGATTGTAAAACTATGTAAAAAGTAATGACACAGTTGTTGTTGAGCGTGAATTACCACCACCACCATTTATGTTATCTGATACGATAAGATTAAGCTTTTACGTTGTGCTCTTAGCCCCGACTCTTTGTTACCAAACCACCACCATAAGCAATTTATACCGATAACTATACGTTATCTGTGTACGCATGTTCGTTGGGTGCATAAAGTCGAAGGGGATCCTCAAGGGAGTGACATGATACCGTGAACCGTGATTTTTATCTGATTTTTGATCTGTGGTATGAAAAATTCCTTGTTTTGAAGGTCTCTTCAATTAAAAATAAGCACAGTATTTGCAAGACATGAACGAACTAAGGTCATTGCTCATAGCACCCAACGAACATGCCTCTAGAAACAGACGATAGTTCAATTGATTAGTTAAAATTCTCATGGTCGCGTCGAAAACTCATTATCTTTGAAATACCACAACTACCGAATTTCATCACGTACACAGTTGGAAGAGTAGAATCAATTGCTACCACATGACGCGTACACGGACAAAATACGGAAGGTGTCAAAACTCCATCGCGTCGTACGTTTAAATCCACACCAAAGTGATGGACGAGAGATACGCGAAAAGCTGCGAGATCACAGAGGGAGGGAGGAGGGGGTTCAAACTCGAGCTCACCCCCTTCGTTAGTGCTCGCGGCGAAAAAAATATACGAAAAGTGGGTCACCGTGTCCTATACTGCAAGATCTCAATGTATGTTTGACGCGCGAGCGGAGGAATAACCCCGATCGCGTAGAGACAGAGATATTGGGGTGGGGGGGGGGGGGTCGTCGCATGGTTTACTCACCTTTATGAGGAAGGAAATTGTGATGAATATAGAAAAGATAAACATGCCGCCGAGGCCGTATAGATGTAGGGTTCGTCGGCCGGTGCGGTCCATCAGGGGTATCGAGATGAGGGTCATGCCGACCATGATGACGCCGATACCGATTGTGGCGAACTTTGCGTTTTCCGGTGTCAGGCCTGACGACTCGAACAAACTCGTCGAGTAGTAGAACACCTGGAACGGAAAATATATGCAGAACGTATAGTATTGCTGATGATCTTGCAACTGTTTGAGTTTCGTTTGTTCATTATTAAAAAATGTAAAATAAAATAGTATCACAACTTTTGACAGAAATTATGGCACATTATATTAATTAATTTACAAAACTGGGCATCGAAACCTTTTTTCTAGTATTCCAATCACTTTTTGTTTCTTTTTTAAAAATAGATTAGTGATTTCGTACATGTTTTGGATCTCTTAATTCAAATTTTCCAACAAAATTAAAAGAACCTTTTTCCTTACGATCTAAAAACTACCACGAAAAGTATGATAGATATTAAAAACGCCAGACTCACGGCATTGATGCCGGACAGTTGTTGCGATAGCTGCATGACGACGCCGATAAGCAGGGGCCGCTTGAGGGTCGGGCTACAGATGAGCTCGGACATCGAGATGGTCGACTCGGACTGCTGGGCCCTTTCCTCGGCCCTCATCTCCTCGATGTCCTCCTCAACCTGGTTGCTCGCCCTCAGTTTGCGCAGCGCCTTGCGCGCCTCCTCCTCCCACTGCTTGGTGATCAGCAGGTATCTGAAAATGCGACGGTATAGCTAATGTAGACGCCACTTTGTATGGGTGCTACTGAAGACCCCCTCCTCACTGTAAACTATCTCCATAGACCTTGCATTACGCATGAACTGATGATATTCAACTTTTTTTCCGGACAACGTGATTTTTCCCAAGATATTTACCCCTCCTAGGAACGATCATTTTATCCGATTTAAGAGCCGATTTTTTTTTAGAGTTGACATTCCTTTTTTACTTCGTGAATTTTTTCACTGATTTGCAGCATTAGTAATGTATATTGCAAGAATTACGTAGCTGTTGGAAAGTTTTATAACGATATTTCTATCTGCTTTGATTTTGATCTGTTCTACAGGCTTTGGTTGGCATTAACCTGCTCGTGAATTATTCGTCGATTTCGAGGGCTAAGGACAAGTGTACATGAAACGGGTGAAAGTTCACCAGTGAATAATAAAAATGTTTCATTTCATTTTCAATTAATATATATCTCGTTGTCGAACAATCGGAAAAACTCGACGCGTGTAATTAATTTTTCACGCGCGAGTGTGCGGATTAATTTTCTCTGTGCGTACAGTACTAATTGATCGATGATAAAAACCATGTTGAATTTTAATTAGAAGTTGATTGAACGAGTTTAGTCTTTAACTTTGCGGAATGAGGTTTCAACGCGATAATTGGAGCTTTGATTGGTTTTGATCGAATGTAATTATAAAAATCGGGCACTTTTTAAAATTTTAATTAAAAAAAAATTTGCTCTTTCGTGATTCCCAAAGAAATGGACTTTTTTTAAATTGTCATTGAAATATTGGCTTAAAACTTTAACAGAGAGTAAATAATGTAGCTGCTAAAGACTCTTTTTTTTTTTTTACCACATTTTTCAATTAAAATTTTCTAAGCTCTCAAATGTGAAAGTAGTCTGAAATGTATTAAGCATAAACTGAAAAAAAAAAAAACGTTTTAAAAACAATAAAAAGTTTATTATTACTAGACTAGGGTGCCCTTTATGGATATTTTTTTCTCCCATACTTTGTAATTCTCCCACCACAGGTAAAGTGCGAGTACTATCTTAAGGTACGTCTGACTATTCGCGTTTCTCACTACTGATTCTTCGCCTAACCATGTTTGGTATCCCCGACAACACGATATCGGCAAAGAAAGAATAAAATTATTTTGGTTGAGGAAAAAGAGGGTGGTAAACAACGACACCCGAAACAAAAAAAAAAACAAAAAAACACTTACCTGGGTGACTCAGGACAGAAGGGCAGCAGCAGGAGTTGCAGCACGGCGGGGACGATGGCAACACCGAGCAAGACGGGCCAGCTCTCGTTGTTGCCGAACAACTTCTGGGTACCGAGGATCTGAGACATAAGCAGGCCGATCGTGACAGCCAGTTGGTTGACGGTGCCGAGGCCACCACGCAGGTTCAGAGGCGCTATCTCCGATATGTACATGGGCACGAGGGAGGTGTTGAGGCCGCAGTTGACGCCGATCAGGAAGCGCCCGACGAACAGGATCTCGTACGCTCGCATTATCTTTGTGCAGCCCATCAGACAGGCTCCGCAAATGCCAACCACGTTGTTCAGCAACAGGCCCCCTTTTCTGTGGATCGGGTATCAGAAAAAGTGTACTTTTTTGAGCATTTCTTTTGTCTTTTTTTTTTTTTTTTATTTGTGGAAGGTGTAACTATGGCAAAGGACACGAAAAATACAGCGCAATCACGTCATTTTATCTACGATTCATTGGTTTTGCGTAACGCTCGGTGATACCAGAGTGTTGGTTTACTAAAGAAGATAAAAATCTTATTCCATGTATACACCTCGTGGCCGTCCATTTACCCAGCATTTACTTCCCCAAGCGAACATCAACCTCAAAAGACAAACATTCTTTGCTGAACAGCAGCTACCAGGAGGGCTATCGATGCGTTGTCAGCGAAAAGACTCACGCGATGGCGGAACCCCTGGCTGATTAGGTGAAACACTACGATCGAGTATACCCGCAACTCCGAAAGTCGATACAGCGCCCGCCTTGTTACAAGAGGTCAGTATCGGATCTACTGCTTGCCTGGAAGACGCTAGACATGGCACATCTTACAGCGCGATAACTACCTCCGCTTTCTTGTCGGCGGAGTTATCAGCCGTGTCGGTTGTTGCATTATTTACGTTTGGTTTACATTTTATCGATCTATCGATGTGTCTGCGTGTGCACGCGGGCCTTGAGATATTCTCGATGAATTTTTACTAACGATACGAGAAATGACAGTAATCTTGTTTCGTGCACGGAATGGAAAAAAAAAACTTGTTTTTCAGAGTGTATCCGATTGATAAATGTTACGACCGTCCAGGAGAAACTAAATGTCAACAATTAATTATTATTTTCTCTTAGAAGGTACATGCTATCAGTTCACTCAATCACACGAATGTCACTTCATCTCCACAATTTGTTTTGGTTAACTAGTAAAGTAGTTTTTCTATTTAAACTTACTCCCAATAGACATTTGGACGAGACTTTATGGAAAAAAGTTCGTTAGGTTGAATAGTAGTAGGCAAACCAATGAAATATGTATACGATGAGTATCTCTTCATTCGATGACTGACCAAACCTTGGTTCTTACTACTTAAGATCCAGTTCGCCATGGTGAATAATACAAATAAATAACAAAAGCAATTCTAATTGGCAGATGAGAATTCTAATTTAATATTCTGATTATAAAGTATTAATTCAACATACTTTTTTGTATAAAAAATCGCATACTGCGTAAAAGTAGTCTGGGTGAAGATGTATCCGACTGAACCTCGACTTATTATTGTCTACTATTCTTCCAATATCCATACTTGTTTATTTTCTAAATCGTTAATTTACTGAATTCAATATGTTGCTATGGTTTAATTTCGTCAAAGAATTGTGCTATTTGGTTAAATTCTTTTTAAATAAATAAAAAATAAGAAAGTACAATACTTGTGAGAATGACAACTTTTATCGAAACTTCTCAGATTATTCATATCGAAATATGTGACAAGTATCTCTACATTCGATGTCTGACCAATCCTTGGTTCTTACTACTTAAAATCCAGTTCGTCATGGTGAATAATACAATTAAATAATAATACAATAATTCTGTTTGGCAGATGATAATTCTTAATTAATAATCTGATTATAAAGTATTAATTCAATAACTTTTTTTTTTTTACATAAAGAATCGTATACTGCATCAAAGTAGTCTGGGTGAAGGTGTATCCGACTAAACCTTGATTTATTATTGTCTATCTATTCTCCCAATATCTTATATCACTTATGTCAAAGGATTTTGCTAATTGGTTAAATTTTTTTTTTTTTTTTTTAATAAATAGAAAGAAAAAAGTGTAATGCTTGTGAGAGTGAAAACTTTCATCGACACTTCTCAGGTTACCCGTACCGAAAAAAAGCAGGACACATCCACACGGGTCGAGAACAAATGGCGCAGTCACCGAAAACCGAAGAAAAAGAGATAAAACGTGTCTCACTGACCTGCCAAATCTGTTGCCGATGTATCCACCGCTGAAGCCGCCCAACATACCGCCAATAGCGAATATGCTGACGGCCACCGAGTAAAGCGTTTCCACCCAGCTCTCGGAGATGTCCTCGCCGTATCGATCCTTGTACACATCTTTTATGAAGTCTTGGATGTTCTGTTACGAGAAAAAAAAAGTTGCGCAACTTTAACAAGAAGAAAAGGGAAAAAAAAGTACAAGGACACGCGACGGGTGGGTGGTCGACTCGGTTTAATCTAATTGAGGGAGATAGTCACCGCTTATGCCACGACCTAGTTCGAAGACTCCACGGCCGTGGCGAGTATAGGTGTACGTGTACGAACTTAGCAGTTCGCAGGGCTTTTTTGTATGCTACACGAGACCACTGACTCGAAAACTCAGAAGATCGCGAGCATGTAATTAGCCAGCGTTTACTGATGGAATATAAATTACTTTGCGTCTCTTGTCTCGTTTGTACGCGTTTATGTGAAGCCATCGGATTTTGACAAAAAAAAAAAAAATTGTAAATTAAAAATGCCCGGTAATAATGAATTGTGCGATCATTAGTTGGAGTGAGCATGAGCATAGATACTTGAGGGAGAGCAAAACTAAACATCGATTGTACACGATATTTATGCTTAGTAAATACTAAAATAATATTGATTCGAGATTTTTTTACTCACAGTTTGTGGCGCGTTGATGACTCCTGTGTTGTATCCAAATTGTAGCATACCCAGCACTGCCGACAGTATTGTGTACGACAGGGAGAACGTCAACCCCTGCAATGGAATCCAAAAATGCTTTTGTCAGTTTAAAAATTTCAATAAGAGTACACAGAAGGAATAAAAATTGCTTTAAAATATCATGAAAATTAATAATATTAGGGCATGGGTGTAAGGATAGTGAACATCAATTCAAGCAGAAAGCATTTATTTGACGATATGTATAAACAAATTATAAAAACAAAATCACTCTGTAACAATATATTTGTACAACACATAGGTAACAAGCAATACTCGTGTGATTAAAATAAGTGTAAAAATATATACAACAATTTTTAAGCTTAACACTGGAAATAATTACTAAACAAAATCTTTGTGAAACAAGCATTTTTTTTATAAAACTTGTGATTATTTTAGTTTGAGTTTTAATATGTACAAAAATAATAGATAAAAATTAACGAAGCTACCATCACTACGTTCGATCAATCAAGCCTACAAAAAACAGACATAAACTTAGTGCTAAAAAATAAATAAAGATTAATAAAATAAAAATCATTTCATCACAGCTAATTATAAAACTTAATAGTAACAGCTGTAAAGTAAATAAAAGTACAGTAATGGTAATTCTCATTAGTGAAATGAACGTGGAGAATGAAAGGAAGAAAAAAAAGTGAATCAACTGAAAGGTTCATGCTTACACAAGACACGCGTGCAGTAAACCTGAAACATCGAAAAAGTGAAGGATCGGTTAAAAAGGTTGCAAAAGTCAAGTCGTCTACAGCCAAGAGTATACACTTGGAGGTCAAAGAGGGAAGGATCGTTTGTTGTCGCGAAAACATGGTGGTGGCAAACAGCAATCGATTATGCAAACGTCGTCACCTGTTCCAAAAGCCTGAGTTTCCTGCGGTGCGAATGCTCCTCCAGTCTGTCCACATACTCCCGCAGCTCCTCTATCTCCTCCTTGACTTGCTGTACCGTATCCAACTCGTGCTGTATTGACCGAATTAATTATGTGAGTCAATGTTTGCTTCCCTACAATGGGCGCCACTCGGTTTTGCAAAGTTGGGTGGGAAGAGTTTGCGATCAATCGAATAACTGTACCACTAGTCCCTAATTACGTTGGATTCCGTTGTTTTTCTTCGAAAATCAAACACGTAGGGTGAGTTATTTTTTGGGGAATTCGATTGAGTTTGTTTCCATCTTACTGAACCATATGACCACACGAAACAAAAAAAGAACAATTGTTACCACTACAATATTATACGGTAATGTTGGGGTAATTTACAAACATAGAAATGTTCACATTAAATTTAACGTGACAATTATCCAGAAAAATATAAAAATTATGGTGAACTAGTGTAAAAGTGATAGTTACTACAACATTACCAATAATTAGCACTTTTTTTAACTATAAACAACTGAGTGCGTTGATGTAATTGATTTCCAATTGGAACGAATAGTACGTAAAATTGAACCGCGAATATATATTGGTTGGCTGAAATAACCCATGTTCCCGAATATTTCCGACAATCGATCGAAAAAGTAATTTCAACCGAGAGAATCGCATTTAAATAAGCCTTGGGTATTTGATAATGCTCGTTTCGAATAAAACCATCGTTAATTCACCTCATCACCTTAATTTCCGCGCGCATCCCCAGCCACATTCAATATTCCATTAGTGAAACGCGCCGAGAGGATACGCGCAGAGCTGCAGCGGAGGGCGCGTGAAAATCGTAAAAATATGGCCCCAGTGTTTTTTCCGGTCACCCAGACCAATTAAATTAGTTTTTTTAGGGGGAGGAGAGCACACGTGCACTTTTACATATGGCTTCGTCGATTTTCAATTTCGTTCTCCCATTTTATGCCCACCCCTGTCAAAACATCATTGTCAGCCCCGTTGAACATTTAAAAAAAAAGAAGTTTTTAACGTTCCACCCAAAGTGGATTCTGCAAGATATTATTCCAGGATCGATCAATACAGCTTCTTTTATTCATTTGAACATTGTGACAATCCGCCGAACGCCACATTATCAAAGTACCCTCATTTGCCATAAAAAAAAAAGAAATTACAGAAACTGTTGGTTTTTTTTTGTTCTTTCGATCAGTTAGCCAATAAACAATGGGAAGCAACCACGTATCATCGTAACGAGGAAAAAAAAATATATTATCAACACCATCCACGCGGTGCACGACGACGACTCACCTTGATGGCCACCATGTCGCGCTTGACCTCGCTGACCTCGGTCTGGCAGGACTCGACGCTCTTGGTGAGCTCCTGGAGTTGGGTGCGTATCTCGCAGAGCGCGACCGTCGTCTCGAGCTGTCGGTCGCCGCGCTGAAGCTCGTCCAGCTTCGACGACAGGTTCATGCTCATGACGCTCACCTGCTTCTGCAGACTGTGGTCCAGGTCGCGGTACGAGCCATCGGCGTCGAGGTGGTTGTTGTCGTCGTTGAAGTCATCGTCAGCGGCAGTTAGGGCGTGGTTGTAGTGGTTGTAGCGATTTTGGAGGATTTGTTGTTGTTGGTGGTGGTGGTGGTTGTAGCGTTGTTCGGCCGTCGGGGTCGTGGTGCGATGGTCGTTGTCGCGGTTGTCGTAATTTTGTTGGTGGTGGAGGTGATGGTGGTGGTTGTCCGAGGCCGCCGTTGGCGTCGCCAGTGTCGTGGCCGGTGATGCCGTGGTGGCGTGCAGGTCGAGGGTCGGGGAGGCGCAGTGGTACGTGGGCCCGAGAAAAAAGGGCGATCCGAGCGCGCGCGCGCGCCCCAGCGTTAATAAGCGCCCATCCTCCAACTCTCTCTTGCCGATCAAGTGCGTTTACTTTACTCAGTTATGCTCTTTTTTTTTTTCTTTGCTTCGTTTCTCTCGTATCGAGCATTTTTTTTTTTTTCACATTGCTCAAGTTGTTCATTTATCGTTTATTACATTTGTCATTTTTTGGCACCGATTCCATGTACTCTTAGGTGGCATTGCACAGCTACTCCGAATAACTTTTTTCTTTTGAAACTAATGCAGCTTTTACATTCATTAAAAAAAAAAAACTAAAAAAAAAAACCAGTTTTGGTCCAATATTAGTTTTATAATTTCAAAGTTACGAACCGATCGATTTGTCAAAAAAGAATTTGAATTGGTTGCTGTTTTTGCATTGCACTTACTCCACCGAGTACATAAATTCACGGTCGACAAATTCTTTCTCTGTCTGAGCAAGTCCATCTAAAGAAATGTTTGTTCGGTGATACGGAAATCATTAAATTTTTCTTTGGTTTGTCATTCATTACTTACTGCAACTCACGCGAAAAACAACGACCCGAAACGGTGTTACCGATATGAACGTTCATTGAAGTGTTCATTTATCTCGTTATGTGCTAATAATGAGGCTATACACCTCTGATTTTCAAAACAATGCTCTTTTTGCTTTCATCGAGTGTTTTAGTTGTTTATTTATTAAGGTTTAACGTTCATGCTGAATAACCAAATAAATAAGGTTAAATAAAAATTTTGGCGAAATGGATAAATTACACTAAGTAATAATTGAAAAGTAAACCTGTTGCAGAAATAATTACCAAACTTGAAATTTCTGTGAGTGAGTTCATTTGAAATTTACGGCATTCAGTTACAGTGTTGGTAATAGTGATAGTAAAATATAGTAGATATGAAAAATAAGAAATTTCAAGTCGCAAGCTAAATCAGCGATAAATCTAAATATAATGATAGAAACTTGTTGAGAAAATTCATTTTTTTTTCTGAATTAATACCAAACATTTGAAGAATCATCGATGTATAGCCTTGAAAAAGAGTTTTGCATTTTTACTTTTCTCGGCATTCTAGCATGTTTAAATCATTAATTTTATTATTATTTCTATGATGAGACGTCACAAATTAATACATTTAAAACACTATATTGAGAAGACAACACAGACAAAATACAATGCCACTAAAAGCATGTCTATAGTAGGTGTGTGTATATATAAGTGATTACAAAATGAAACATAATGATTTATACGTAAATATATATATATGTATATTTATATAAGTCTACTAGTGATTTCGCAGCTGTGCACATTAGGACAGAGTCACTCATTACAGTGGCGTATAGGTATATAATATTTTACATCTAAACTTTTTTAAGTGAGTACTTTGGACCTCGATGAAGCGTCGAAAAAGTTTTTTTGCGATCAATTTATCAAGTTTCACATCGAACCCAATATATTTTAACCAAATAAACAATTAAAATTTTTTTTTTTCAATTTTCGATAAACTACCGTATGAAAATAAATATATCTTAAACATAACAATGTTATGTTATTCCAGACTTTCACACAGTATGATAAAGTTTGTAGTAAAATAGAAGCTGTATTAGAAATAGATGACATATACTTTGATTAACTAGCAATTATGTATTAAATAGTATAAAATGGTCAAATTGTTTGGACATGGGCACTTTTTGATGAAAAAACTACTTTCGACATTTCACTGAAATCCAGAAATTGATTCAAGTTTTGCTTGTTAGTTGCATATTTTAAAAATACTATTCAAGACTCGTGAAAGGTAGTCAATAATTATTTGAAGGTTGGTATAATAAACTCTCATTGAAAAAAAAAAAATTATTTTATCGGAAGTTTGTGAATGGGGGGTAATAGATATAGTTTGTACGTATCTAAAATGGCAAGATGCAGTAATGAAGGAGATTATCAGACTAAAATAAACTAAAAGGTAAATGATTGCTCTTCGTTGAAAGAAGAATTTTGATGTACAAAAGTATTTATAATACAACAGGTGTAAATAACGATACCAGAAGAATAATTATTTGTAATAATGATTACACAAATAAAAGGAGTGTATTTATTAATGCCATGATATAAAAAATATACGCGGCCGATGTGCACAGCAAAAAAAGAATTTGTGATAAAATATACTCGCGATGAAGATGTGAAAAGTATGAGAGATAGATTAATTATCTTTTTTCTTTTCTGATTCTTCGTGTACGATTTGCATGAGACAGTGATCGCGCATATAGTCGGTGAAATGCAGCAAAAATGAATGAGCGTACATGATTTCGAGAGGCCAGTTCTGAAAGAGAAAGACTTTGATGCCTTTTGGTCGCAGTTTATACCGATTTTCCATCTCTTGCTCTGACGTGCATGAATTGAAAAATTATAGAAAATTTTATAACAATACAAAGTTTGAGTTATGAAACATTAAAGTCGTCCATAAGTCTACAAACATGGAACGTGTTTATTAGGAATCGGTATAAACTCAACCAGCAATGAGTCACGACAAAAAGGTAATGGTAAGAATTAAAAAAAAAAAAAAATCACGTAGAAAACAATACGTATCTAAATAGCAACGAAACGAAATTACGAAGACGACGTCAGGTCTATACTCGATCATGAGAACTATTAACAAATTGTAAATTTATAATAACAAACTTATCTTAATTGTGTTTGAATCAAATTGAATAAGCGTATGAATATGTAATAGTTTAGTGGTTATTCCAAAAAATTGTTAATAAATAATACATTTGTAGAAATAATTTTTTTTATCATGTCAAAATTTAGGGTGTAGTAGTTTAACAAGGTAAATTGACAGATATTCACCACCAAAGCGAATAAATTCCGAAAAAAATTTGGCGGAATTGTGAAAATTTAAAAATGCACTTTAAAAAATCGTAAAAACTCACCAAATTAGTTTGTTAGTAAAAAATTGTGTATTTGCGATACAAAAAAACCTTTTTTTGGAGACGTTTGCATAAGAAGTAAAAAGTTTTCGAGAATACAGACGTCGTCGCCTCGTGTAAGCATCGACGGAACTAGGTGAAAAAAAAAAAAAAAAAAAAATTACAGGATAAAAAATAAAAGAAAAATCACGATCAAAGAAGAAAATCGAGAGGACGAAATTGGCAATAAAAAAGAAAGTGAAAGAGAAACAAGGAAAAAGTTGAAAACTAAAACAAAACAAAAGAAAATTCGTACAAAAAGCAACGAGATAGATAGAGAGAGAGAGCGATGATGTAGGTATGTACCTGGGAGGTAGGGAGACCATGGCTGTGTTCCGAAACTACAAGTAGTAGAGAGAAGAGGCCCGCCCGGGGGCAATCCGGCAATCCCGCACTTTGGCTCTCTAGCCGTCTCTCATTCCCCTCCTTCTCTTCCTTCGCCTCCTTCGCCTCTCTTGGCTCTGTCGGGGGCCCCGACGATGCGAAATTTCGCCTCGGCCCAACTAGCGAGGATTCACAACACTCGCAACGACACAGACAGAGAGAGAGCCAGAGGTTGATCAACTCGTGGAGGAATTAACAACAAAAAACAACAACTCGATCGATAACGGGTGATTCTTTACAGTTCCCCTTTTTCTCTCTCTCTTTCTGGTTTCTCAGTTCATTTTTTTTTTTTTCTTTTCACCACTCTTGGCGATAGCACAAGTGTCCCACACCGAAAATGTTTGTGCCCTTTTTTTTGCTCCAAAAACTGTCAGTTTTCACTCTCTTTCCCTCTTTTCGCTTTTCCAGTATCCGAATCTTGCTCCGACACTCGCACTATTTTTACCTAGTTTGGGAAACACAGTCGTGGTTCAGTTTGAATCACAGATGTTTTATTTAAATGAAATGTCGCTGTATTTTCATTCATTTATATATTGCATATGTATAATGGACTGTGGATGACATGGGGTTTAGGTGACGAGTTTTGCGACGAGAGGGTCAAGATTAACCAGGTCTCGTTCTATTATCCACTGGATATCGCCCTCGTGGCAACCGTTCTGAAGGGAGCATGTGGTGACCTTCTCGCGCTTTTTTTCTCATTTTTATGAATTTTTTTTATTTTTCACAACCAACTGCTGGTTATATTACTTAACAGTAGAAAAATGCAATGATATTCGGGTCCGAACCCTAATTTCGACCTCACGCGGATTCCGGACCAGCCTAGTACGAGCACGTGAAGTTATACGTAGAATGTTTAATTTTTTTTTTTTACCAATGATAGGCATCAAGGTTTTTTTTGACACTTCAGCACACAAGTTCTTGCACTGATAAGTCTTTTTTTCTTATCAACAAGTCGTCAAAACGATACACTATTTGGGAATTAAAAAATGTTTTGGCACCAATCAATTCAAGAATTTTTCTTTGAGAAACCATTCTCCATGTATCAGGCTAGTCCAAAACTCGAGCAAGATCAAAATTAAAAATAGGCCCCGAATCGGGTTGGATGTTTGTTTACTTTTTTTTTCGACATTTTTTCACTTTTTTCCGAATGGATTTTTACATTGCAAATCGTCTTTCAGAGTCTTTTTAGCAATATTGTTAAAAGTTTTTTTTCGGGACTAGATCTTAGCTACTTAAATTCGCAAGAACCTCACTGTCTGTGAAATGGGTAATAAAAATTTGTGTGGGCAGACTTTGCGCATGTTCACGGAGTGTTACGAAGTGTTGTGAAATTTTGTTCAAAAGCACGTTTTACGTGATCAATCGCGACACTGTAATATGCGCTTCACGTGTATGAAGACGTGTGTGTGTGTGTGTGTGTGTTGTGTGTGTACTCCTGAGCTTGTGTGGTATACGGGTGCGAATACTGGCAAAAACAATTTACACACAGCACAGCACAGAGCGCAGAAAAAAGTAACAGCGTGGGCAAGAGATAAAACAACTCGGGTGTCGTGTAGCTGACTGTGACCGTCATGTAGACGGTGACGATAAACAGTTTGTACGTGGACGAGTGACAGATGTTGTGTGTTTGCTATGGCCGCGCACGCACAAATAGGTCAATTTTTTTTTTTTCCTTTCGCTACATTCGTGTTTAGATGCTTTTTCTTGTACGTAGGTATTTTTTTAAAGCTGTGAGATACATGGTTTTTTAACGCGTCGTAATCAATTCTACAGCTTACGTCGAAAAATTGAATTTTGCGAGAAATATGTTTCGTGGAAAGTACTGAAAAGATCTCATTTTATCAATTATATATCGTGTAACAATAAATTAACGAATTTAATATATTTAATTGAAAATTACGCGTCATCACGTTGATTATTGAAATAATACCAAAGCACGAGGAAATAAATCTAAAAATTATGCAAGCTGTAACATAATATCTATCTTACCTTCTGTGTTGCAACTTTTAAAAAAATACTATGATGTAATACACAAAATCGGTGGACTTATAATGAAATTTAGAATTTTTAATAAAAGCTGGTACGATAAATAATATTGTTGTCTACTAATTGTAACGTTCAACGTCGATTTATTCGATTTTTACGAAGGTCTATTCTTATAATATTAATGTACCGAACCGATGTCAGATTAAATAAAGAAAAAACGGTTTGATTAGTCCAAAAACAAGATTTAATAACTTTGATTGACTTATTTGTGCGAAAAGATTGTTTGTAAGTACACAATCAGGTGAACGAGTAGAGCAATATTAGCGTTAAGCTTGTGAAGGGCGCGGCAGCTTAAATAGATTATCTGCTAGTAAAAAATCGTATGCGTGAGTGGTTATGTGATCGTATGTGTTTTAATGTGGAGATAAACAGATAGTAACTTTATGAAACTGTTTGTTTCTGAAACAATTTTAAAACGCTGATTCTATTACATTAAAATAAAAATTAAAGGGTTAAAGATTTTTTTTAATGTGCTAAATAATTCTGTAATGTCTAAAAAACTTGGCCACGATATTAAATATTATGTATATTCATGTATTATTACCGATCGTAATAGTAAGTTTCATTTTTATATAGAAGACTGTAATAATGGTAGGCTTATTTTTTTTAACTCAGTCATTTGTCCTTATATTTACATTACGTCCTTGAAATAACTTTATGTTATCTTATGTTGTTATTTTGCTGAATCCCAATTATGTGGTTAGTCGTGAACTAAAACATATATTTTTGGTCTGGATTCTAGATTTCTTTTAGACTATTAGACTAGAGACAATTTTATTACAATCAAACAATTAGGGAATTGGCAGAAGTATTTGGATCAAAAACAATGTACGCTCTTAAAAGTTTTCAGAAATAAACAGTAACATAAGAACTTTCAAGTTCATACATCAATATCAGCCATCGTGTAAATTTATGTGGACATAATTTAGCTTATTAATAATTTATGTTAGATGCATCTAAGTCTCTATGCTTTGCATTCCTGATTGGTCCAATTTTTTTTTTATCTGGTAACGTATGTGTACCCGATTGAACAATCGGTATTATGAATCATCTTTGTAAAAATTGGATGATTATGATTAATAGCTGATTATTTATGAATGTGAAAAAAAATGAGGCACCAATGTATGAAATGTTAAAAAAATTAAGTCATGATTAATTCATACACAATACTTAGTAAACTTATTTTTGCTTTTAATTATCATTATTATAATGTCACACACCCTATATTTATCCATTGCCCTGAATTGATTGCACATTTTGTGTGTAATTATTATGTATTCTCGCAAAAATAGTGTGTAGGCATCATCAATTCGTTTGTGCACAGTATGGAAACCAAAACTCGTATGTAATTTAAAATTTTATTCTACTCTTTTTTTTATCAACTTATTATTTAAACTTTATAACCGATACTAAAAATGAATTTTCTAACTTGCTGGAACTAAAAGTCGAAGCTCTTTAAAGTAAAAGTCTAACAAATGAATAACAATGCTGCTAAAAACAAAATGATTTGAAAAAAATTGTCTGAAATAACTATAACTATATTCATCCAATTAATATGTATGTATTATTAATTGAAACTATAATCTTGTACAGAAGCCCCGTCTTTTAATCCTCAATAATTAAAAGATACATTTTCACTTTTTTCAAGCAATGTTTTCATATTATCAGCAAGAGAAAATTGAGAATCTTTAATTTATATTTTATATCCTATAGGCACACACGCAATTATTCTTCGTCTAAATTGCGTATACGACTTTATTTACGACACTATTTTCTGAAACTTGAAAAAGGCATTAGGATAAAGCATCCCTAATGTTTTTTGATGCACATCTTTTCTCGAAAAAATCAAATTAAATAAACTGTAACTATTCTACACGATGTAAAAAAAAAAAAAAAAAAAAAAAACGTAGTAGAACATATTGGCTTGGAGTGGCAGCTAAGTTCTACATGAGTTACGAAAATGTACACTATTTACAAATTTTTGTACATAACTTTCGAATGAAAAGTACTTTCTCCTAGATTTTCACGTAGAAGCCCGTAATATGCTTTTATTCTACGTGTAAATTACGAGTCTAAATAACAAGGCAAATACATCGTTCCATTCGTTAGTTAGAAAACAGCCAAAAAACTGTAAAAATCAATTTGTTTGAAATAAATTAACAAAAAAAAAAAAAAAACTTGCAGAGCGCTCTTATTTTAGTCGTATAGTTGCCTTATCATGGGACACAAAAGAGATAGTTTTCTCGAGCAGGGAAGCAAAAATCGTGGTCACACACGAAGCAATCGAAAAGTATCTCTTTTGCGCGAAATCGGAAGATAACGCTATAATTATGTCGAAGGTAACTAGAGCACTCATTGAGAGGGTAGGGGTACAGGGGGCACGAAACTTTTCATAAGACCTGAGGGTTAATTAAGACGGGAGTTGCGGCGTTGCGGGGGTAAAACTGACCTTATGAGCAGCTCCCTGAGAGTGGCCTCGTCTTCCTCCTGTACCTCTTCCTGCGTCTCATTACTGTAGGATCCGCGCGAGCGTCTCGTCGAAGGCCTGAGCCCGTGCCTGGGCACTCGTGGCGGGGCACTGTGGTGGTGGTGGTGATGGGGCTGCTGCAGGTGCGGTGGAGCCGGCAGGCCGAGCCCAAGAGGTGCCGGCTGCTGGTAGTGCGTGGTCGTCGTCGTGGTCGTCGTCGTCTGGAGGTAACGAGCTGCCGCGGAACGCCCCCTCGTCAGCTTGAAACTCGCGGCTTGGCTCTGGCGGCTCTCGATGCCGCCCCCGATGCCCCCGCCCACGGACGAAGTTGAATGATGCAGAATGCTGCTGGGTCGCAGCGCATGCTGCTGACTGTTGGTTAAATTTGGGTCAAAGTCTCTCGTAAGATTTCGCAGTCACGGTTTGTCGACATGGGGTTACAGGACTGGTAATTTTTTCTCCAAATATGCGCCAAACGCACTTGTATGTACGACGATTAACTCATGTATAATATATACGTATATAACGTGGGTAAATGTTATTACCTAGATGAGCGATGCCGGGGCTGCGTGTGGTACGGATGATGGTGATCGGACGGGGCCGGCTCGCCCGAGCGCTTGCTCCGGCTTGTGGCGTGCTGCTCCAGCTTCCGGCTGCGCCTGATGCTGCGTTGATGGGCCGCGGCGGCTGCCGCTTGGGCCGGGTGCACGCAAACGGATGAGGCCGAGTCCTCGGCCGAGGGGCCGCTTATTTCCTCGTACAGGCACTCGGAGTCCGCGTCCGTCGATCCAGCGCCGCTCCACAGCTGGTTTATTGGCCGGAAGCCGCGCGGCTCGGACATGTTACGCCAACTAATGTTGCGGGCCTGCTACTGGCCGGCAAGTCTGCCTTTTCCGTCGACTCTTTTTCCCTTTTCAGTCTATGCGACGCTTCTATCTGTTGTTGGTGAATGCGACAGCTACTAACGTCAATTGGCCACAAGTCCGAGTCAGATTCCAAATCCAGGGCCTGTGGCTCGTCGAGGCTCGTTAGCTGCCCAGAATAGAACGGTGCGCTATTGTAGGTGTGCTCTTCCGAGGTAATAATGCTGCTACTGGATTCGAGCTCACCAGAATGCTGGATGGAAGTCCAGGAGGAAAAAGTTAGTCAGTGCTCGAAAAATGCACGTTCAAGCTCCATCACGTTTTGTGGTAATTTAACTAAATCGTGCACTATTGGTTGATAGTTTATGGTAAAATCGCTCGATTTTTGAGATTTTATTCAGAGTGAAATATATTTATCATAGATTGAGATAAAACTGAAATATCGAGCTATATTAGACGTCGGCCAACTAGGTGACATTTTCGTGCTAAAATAAAAACTGATGCGGTAAAAGAAAATAAAATTCAAAGTCTAATAAATTACGTGATACAAAAATAATACAATAAATACTTACTTCCATCTACATTCTACATTTTTTCCTTCAAACGTGTTTTTTTTTTTCGACAATTGGTTTGGCCAATTAAAAAAAATTGCTTTTTTTTCTTGAAAATTAAGCAATGAATAAGTATCAAATGAACCAAAGATTAATTTTCTAACACATAAAAATAGTTGCATGCAGTAACAAGAAAACAAACTGTACAAAGATCAGTGCGTTTTCGAATCTACTCCAATTCCATTATTGGTCACTTCCATCAAAGCGTATACGAGGCACAATCGAACGACAAAAAAGACTCCTCGAACACACGCACCTCACGTGCACAAGTCCTCTACGAAAATAAAAGATAGAGCTGGTACGTATGCGAAAGTGGTCGCGCAGAGCGTGTTTTTTCCCCTATTCGAAGCGCTAGGCCGGACGTTTTTAGGCCATTTTAACCAGAATATACGTCTGATCGACTGCTACTATAAAATCATTGGGAAAAACTCGAAAATTTTGCTGTAAAGTGCGAAAACAAGTGTATACAGAGTAAAACAAAATAAAGAGAGAAGGTAGAAGCTTTAGTTGAGAACAAAACAAGCATAGAGATAGTGGTACCAATTATGCAGTTTTATGATTTCATCAAGTGATAGCTGGGGTTTGACTGTAGCAAAACGTCAGAAACAGAATTTTTTTTTTATAAGACTATTGTTTTCTGTGTGTGATTCGTCGCATGCTTGTCCCGTACGCGTGAGTAAAAAATTCAGCGATGCAAATTCGTTTACGGACTTGTTTTTTCGATATTTACCGTTATCAAGGAAGATGCGAGGTTGTAAATAGAAAAATTAGGATTGAATCAAATAGCATGGCTTGTCTTGAATTGTAGTTGGGTAAAGTAGAATTTCTTAACAAAGTAGACGTTGACGGTCTTAGAAATAAAATTGTTTTCGTATTTTATTCATCCACTTAGAAAAATCAATTTTGACTCAAATTTCAGGTTCTAACGATGGACTCATATGACAAGATACACACGAAGATTCAATCCCAGTACCACTGAATATTTCTCTAACATAAGCCTCGTGGACGAAAAGTTTTATTTAATATTTTTTCTTTTTTTTTGTTTTCATTGAACGACGCAAACACAGTTCATAGGCAAAAAAGCTAGACTACATGAAACTTTAAAACTTTTATGTTCAAACAAGGGGCTGAACCTTTAATCCCAAACTTTTCAAGTTTTCATGGAGCTGTGGAATTTTTTTGTTTGTTTATTAACAACTCAGATAATTTCTAAGGCATATTTTATACGTTTTAGTCATCTTCCGAAATGTTAGATAACCCACTCAATAGGCCAGTTTCAACCCGTTGTCATGAATCAGATGAGAAACCAACGTCCCGTCCCACCTTATGGACGTATAAAAAACGTATTTTTAAAGCCCAGTGCAAAATTATGGAAGCTAATTATCATCAACACAAAGTCCAGCCTTCGAATCCCAAAAACGCAACCACACAGTTTCCGCGGGGTGGAAAATCGGGGGCGCCGCTGCGTTGCTTCCCTGCGAGTGCGTGTCTGCGCGCCTTCCGAAAACCTGCACGGATCGATCGATGACTGCTGCACGGGGCGGGAGGTTCATCGACGGGACGTGCCGTGGCCGAGCGCGAATCAAGAGCTCGGCGGAGCCGCTCGAACTCGCGGAATCGGCGCGTTGCCCTGCATACCTCGGCCTTTCTTCGAATTGTGTAATCGATAGGCGAGCGATATCTGACCCCGAGCCGCCTCGCTCGAGCTGCCTTGGGACTGTACGTTGGCGTTCCCGAAGTGCGGGTGAGTTGTTTTTCTCGAGCTGCCGATTTTTTTTTATTTATTTATTTTTTATAAATTTTTGGTAAATGAATTGGGTTTAACTACGATGTTTCTCCGAATGTTTCTTGAGAGAGGGAGAAATTATACATTAGAAAAATATACTGTATCCGAGCTTACAAAAATAATACCGAGACTTTTCACGTGACTTACGTTCGTCACAAGAGCCAATAATTCTTACAGCAGAAATTTATTTTTATTTCAGTGCGAGAATTTTTCAAGCTCCCCGTGGCCTATAAATTCCAAACTTCTCAAATAATAATGCTGTGTTATAAATTATATGACTCAGGTTTTGCAGCTTTTCATAAATGTCCCTTTGAATAAATAATAATAATAATAATGAAAAAAGCATAGTTCAACGACAGAGTAAACTCGAGCACACTACTTTGGCATATCGTTAAAAATGAAGAGAACTTTTTCTCCCCTCGTTATCATCAATGTTAACAAAAATAAATAATATTGTTACCGTAAAAAATACACGACGTGTGCAACCGAAATAAAGTATTTGGTCCTCACTATCATCGGACAGAGGCTCAAAGTCGAAATCGTCCGAAAACAAAATGGTCAGCAAAACACTGTCCATGTCCCCATTGAAGTATTCGACATCTCGCAAGTAATAATCAATCTTTCCATACATATATATAATTGAGCAAACGCGGCAGCAGCTCCACTAAAGAAATCTCATCGCGGATTCGGGGCACCTCAAAAGCACCAAATCATCCCGGACTTCCTTTTAGAAGAACCGAGGCCGGGAATAATCCCAGTGCAGACGAAGAGAAAGTCGTAAATCATTGCCCGTCGAGTCCCCAGGAGAGAGCGCAATCAACCGACAGCAAAGATTCCGTTTTTGTGATAAAGGAATAAAAAAAAAAAAAAAAAAAAAAAAAAAAAAAAAAAAAAAAAAGATAGTATAATAAAATGACACGTGTACGGGTGACTTGATTGCTTTGAGCTAGGAAGTAGTAAAAAGGACAGAGGAGGGAGGGATGGGAGAGTAAAAGGAGAAGGAATCGACTGGAATGGCACAGCGATCGGGAGATTCATGCAAACTCATCGTTTGCTCCTGCACAGTCATACCTCTCGGTGCAATCATTGCATTGTACGAGTATACAAACAGATGCTTCGTGGCCTCGTTCTAACATTATCATGGTCTGACGACGGAAGTGGGAGGAAAAAGCACTTGATTTCGCGGTCGTCTTTCAGAGTACAAAAATGATTAAGCAAAAAATACTCTGGTGCTCTCTGCAGCGAGGACCCGTTATGAGGCCGTTGTATTAGAGTGTGCGTTGATGTTTTTCAATTAAAATACATATAGAAACACATGCTCTGATGTAAAGAACTAACGACATGTTACTTTGACAAAGGGTGTCTCAGCTGACTTAATTTGAAACCAATTATTTGACGTACATTTTTTTGCAGTCATAAGGTTCATTCACACCTTTTTTCTAATGTGTTTTTAATGTGTAAGTCCATACACTTGTTTACCACCAATCAACTACGAGACATTTAACAGCACGCCTGGATGCTTATTAGTCCTGGACTGACAGGTCACCCTCAAATCTAAGGAATAACAAGCTATCTGGACTGATTTTTTTAACAAAAAAAAAAATTATTCTTTCTCGAATGAACATTTTACACAATACGCTTGCAAGAAAGCCATGCTCACAAAGATTCATAAATTATAAAACATTGGTGTTACACAAACAACAACAACAACAACAACAACAACAACAACAACAACAACAACAACAACAACAACAACAACAACAACAACAACAACAATAATAATAACAACATATACGAAGAACTAGAAACTCTCCAAATCTGAATCGGCGAGTTTTCACTGATTTACTAATTGAAATTAGATTTATCACTGAAGTAGTAAATATTTTCATACACTCTACGTACATCACCAACGTTTGTTCCTGAACTTTGTTTTGCCGAGAAGCATATCAAACTTGTCAGTACACTGTTTGCTCTAAAAAAAGTGACTTCAACTACTCCAGCACACTGGAACTAAATTTCTCGGAGGATCAGTGATCCAATTATTCACCGATTCAGTAATTGGAGAGTAAGTACTTACCTTGCAAACGTAGCAAAAAAAAAAAACAAAAAACAAAAAAAAAAAAAACAACTCACCTTAAAAATGTTAATACAATTCTTTAAATCCATCGTGTCCAGCAGTGACGAGACTTATTGTATCCCCGATACGGGGTTTTCGATGCCTCAGGAACGTCGCGATTCCCACCCCCTGGTTCGTCGCTCGGCCGGCCACCCCCCGTAGTTTTTTGGGCTATGTACTCGTGTGTGAAAAAATTTTAAGGCGACCCCGAGATGAGTGGCTCGACTGGCTCTCCTTGATTCCTTTTTTTTCCCCCGACTCCACGGATCAAGCCGATTCACGACCCTTGCACAAGATTCTCCCTCTGCGATGCATCCGGACGCCGTACTTTTTCTTACTCTTCTAACGTGAGCTGGAATTGCTACTCTCTGCCTCTGAAACATTGAATAAAACAACGAATGTTACATTATTTGCCAATTTTCATATGCATACAATTATTAATATAATCAATAACAAGTGGGTATAGAGTAATCACATTAGATGGTTGGAACCACATGGTATTCATATGAATGTGGAACGTACGTCAAATTACTTGGATGGCAACACATTTGACGGCAAATAAACACTAGTCTGTCGAGGAAAAGAAGATCTCTGAAATGAAAATGTCCGTTTGCCCCAAGTTTGATGCGTAGCCATGTACTCCCACACGAAGATAAACACACCCTGGAACCCTATCCCACGGAGTGACAAACTTTGACTTTTCAATAGCTCTGCAATTCCCGGGGAATATTTACAGTCAATTCGGCGTATTGAAAAAGTTGTTGGATAAAAAAAAGGTAAGCGCAGACTGTACTTGATAAAAAAAAAAAAAAAAAAAAGGCCACATCGTTTGGAGTAGCGAGTTGTTGCGCGAAAATAACGAGTGTTCCAATCAGACGATCCCTCTTCTGCAAAAAGCGTTGCGAGAGGTAGTTTTCCTTTTTTTTTCCTTCGTTTTTACCCAACTGTATGCACCCGATCGAGCTCCGCCAAGCGCAAATACACTTTGACGTTCCCATTGGAAAAAAGTTCGAGCAAAGTACCACCTTACACTTTTTTATTTTTTAATCAAAGGGAATCGGCGATCCCGACCCAATGGCCCGCGACTTTCATCGGCCACGCAAACAGGTTTGGTTCAGCTGATAAAATACCCGGTAGGCGGAAAAAAAGGTTTCGACGGACCGACAGTGCATTACAGTGACTGAGGGGGTGCAGGCTCGTGGTTTGTCATGGCATATGGCTACGAAAGAGGAAGACACTCGTGGCTCCAGGAATGGCTGCATTGAATGTCGTATCCCGTATATAATTCCAGTGATCGCGCAGAGTAACACAACACCACCGTGTGCTACGACGGGGCGACGTTTAGTCCGATAGAGATGGTTTACTCACTTATGCTGTCGTTGATGCAGCTGGTACATCGCGTATGGGACGAGGGTTGGCTTTGCGGTTAGTATGTACACGCATATGATATACTTTAGATCGGCCCATCGACTGCCATCGGGGAGTTGTGTATGTTATATGTGAACTGCGCGTGTAACGTGTACTTGTTATTGGCTATTAAATTTGTGCTGCGATGTGAAAATATATACATACAGTACGCGTTACTTGGGTACACAGAGTACAGGGAAGAGAGAGGGGCCATGCTTTTAGAAGTGCGTGCAAGAAGCGATAAGGAGCACGTACTTTCGAGCTTTTGGTTCCTGTATACGTATACATACATGGTATGGGTATTTGTTGCGGAACTTGCAAGTGGTGCAGGTTGTTTGGCAGCACTTGAGAAAAGAGGGTTTTTCGGTGGGTTCACTCTGGTCATAATTTTTGACTGAACGTTATACCATTCGGCTTTTTCAATATTATGTAGCTGGCAAATTGTGCGTTTTGCTGTTTCATTCGAGGGGTTTCACATAGAACTGGGGGTTTTCGTGTTTCGTAATTATAACTCTTGGCTGCATCATCGAGACGTCAATACATAACTCAAACGTAATACAAGCCTCATGATTTATTGATTTGTGTGGAAAAATTTTTAACCACTGTATTTCACGACATTTATTCGGATATTATTATTTTCTTGCCCAAGTCTCAATACTCGTGTTTCCTTTACGTAAGTACTTCTCGTATGTAAGAGTTTACTAGCAACATCGGATATTAGATACTCAAACTCAAGTGTATCGACTTTGTTTTCTATAGTCGTGTTAGACGTGTTCAGCACGATCTCCATTACTGTTTTTATAATCGCCTACAAACATTCTTACAATTCATTGTTCAATGGTGCTGAAAGAATTTAATTGACATTATTTTTTAAATTATTTTTTCGGCTTCGATCTCATACATTTTCGTACAAAAAGTCTGTTTTTTTGTTATTTGAAAAATGTTGTATGTATTATAGATTCATTTCATGACTTTGTTTTGATGAACAGAAAAAAAAAAAAAAAAATTTGTTAATTACTGAGAGAGAAACTAGTTTTATGTATCAAAGTCTTCATTGTGATCATCATATAATGACATTATTATCGTAATTTGATTGTATACTAATACGAGTAGAATCGATCGAATTATTTATCATGACCTATTAGAGAATGATGATGCTAATCCATACATCTAAACATGCACGGGACGATTCACTTTTAATGCAGTACTTGGTAATTGAGTAAAAAAAATAATCACACTCCCCATTGTAATTATTCGTAAAAAAGGGAGTCAAGGTTAGTGGTGTGCGTGCAACTTTCAAGCCCAAGTTTCGCGTGCTGAAAACGTATTGTATTAGATCCAATTTAATTACCATCACCATATTTTTATACAATTTGCATTTATTTTTCAAGAAAATAACAACTGCTTCCATTTACTCGACAAAAACTATAATATTATTGCCTCTTGATGCAACGACACCGTATACTGCACTGGTACTTTTGTAAAAATGGTTTTAAGAAAAACCCGACCCATCGGGTGGTACCTTTGTACTATCAACTGCACCAATAAAAAGGTCATCCCCTAGATCTTTCGACTACTACAAAAAAAAACCCTAAAGAGAAAGCAAAAGAAAATAAAGAGAGAGAGAATGAAATTGAAGGGAAGGGGGGGGGGGAACAAATGTGAAAGCCGAGCAATTGAAAAAGGTCATGCGACGGAAAGTGGAAAAGGAGGCCACGAGCACCCCTATGTCGCTATTCCCCACCCACCCTACACGTGCACCCCCTATATTTTACAGGGCAGTCAGCATCAGGTGCAACACGCCCAACGGCTGCCACATAAACACACACACACACACACGCACGCGTCGGAGGGAGGTGGGTATGGGTATAAATATACCTGTAACCGTGTCGGTGTATACAAGCCCCTGCATTAAGTATCCCCCGCGCAATCTCGTATCTCCGAGTAGGGGGTGGGCGCTGCGGGATGCACGGCTGACGCGCTCTCGAATCGATACCACCGTACCCCCCGCCACTTTCTCCTCTCGTCGCGACCGCCGATTAATCTCGCGGCCCCCCCCCTCTCGCACCCTCTCTCGAGTGCATGCGTGAAAGGAGAAACAGTCGTGCCTGAAAAATTCTCACCCCCCACGGTTGCATATACGTACACGTAAATGTGTGTACATGCATGTCCGATGCATCGCGGAGGGACGAGAATGAGAGCGACGAACGGGCAAACGGAAGAGGAGCGGGGGTCAGGGCTTGGGGGAGGGGGGATGTATTATTAGCGAGGTATGCGCCGCAAATATGGATCGATCGATGCCGCCGGAGTGCATTTGGATCGGCTCGATGTACAGCGGCGTGACCTCGAATCAATGGGCCACCCCGACGCCTCGGAGACTTTTATCGTCGAGCGTATACGTACGCGGTAGCACCTACTTTATATAGGCTTCGTACCGTGCTAGAGTGACTTTCAGCAAATGATTGGTCGATAAACGCGTGGGTGCCTATGGGCCATTATACATGTGTGTGCTATTGCGTCGAGGGTACCTCGTTCCACATTCTTCGCTATGATACACATATGTATATATACGCGTGATTTACATCAAATAGTCGTACCGTTGGGTTGTTCCATATACGCTCACACCCGTGTGTCTCGTGCAACTTTTTCTTGGGAATCCCACGGAGGGTGTCGCTCTTCAGTGATTCATGTAAAAAAACTTGCGCCTCAGGATACAAGAAATCCTGGGGGCATTTTTTCTATTTTTCCTCTTCACGAAACGAAATACGTAAATAATTTAACGCAATCTCAGTGCCGTTTGTTTCGTTCCGCTTCGAGTTTAAAAACATAGTAGCTCGCACGAGGGTGAAGAGTAAGGAAAACCATTCGAGCGATCAGTCCTTACTTGTCGGCCGTGTAATCTTGCTATCCGAGATGTTTTAATGTAAGGACAATAAGGGCATTACCTTATAATTGTTCGTTACGAAGGAAAGTAAGGAGAAATTACCGAGCTAAAATAACCAGATCTTGTGTCTCTTTACTTCATTTTATTTTTATCTGTTCATCCCCTCATTTTTGCGTCTAGGTCGTTAACTGTAGGAACTGGCCATGTGTTTTTCTTGCGAGACGCTTTTGTTTCAAGCTATCGCTTGATTTTTGGCTCGATCTTTCGAATCGTTATACTAAAAAGTCATTGGGAAGCATGTATGAATACTTAAAGTCCATAAGTTTTGCTGTAGGGCTCTACTGAATAAAGCATCTCCAAGGTGGACAAAAATGAGAATTTATCAGCCAAATACTAGATGGACTTATTTTTCTGACATCAACCTTTGTGCTCAAGACAACTGTGGGGCCACCGAATAGTTACATCAAAAACAAGGCATTTACGCTCAACTGTTTGATAATGGACGGCATACCGTAATTGGTGGGTATAATGTTGGAAAACACGATATGTACCACTTGTAGAAAACGTTAAACTGCAAGCGTAGTACGTGTCTATTATTAGCGGACAAGGTCTAGTCTGCTCGTTAGATAAATAGAGATTAGTCGATACAAGTTATTCCTTCAGAGATGACTATGTACTGTCTGGTTGTAAACGGGTACATCATTGGCTTGCTTGTAACAAGACACCCGAATTTTTTTTTCTTTGTCATGCTTGCTGAGGGACACGATAATCATAACAGTTAAATATTCAATATTTCAATAGGAAAATGACTACTGAATACTTATCATAAGCTCTGTTTTTAGCTAATATCAACAAGGTGCAGTGAAAAACGTTCGTACGTAATGAGTGGAAACAGGTTACCACCTCAACGTGCTTGAAACATTCCTATAACGATATTTCAATTGTTTAATTTTAAATACTTGCAATTTAAAATCTAGATAATTTGCAAAACTGAATATTAACCAAATAATTTTCAAAATTCTAAATAAGGTACGAAAATTGAGAATTTAAACAATTAAGTGCTAGAGTGACTATAATCAAAGGAATTATATAAGCCGCACAAAATGTAAATCATACCTCTAGGTGAACTCTACTTAAAAAATAATTTAAACGATACGGGACTTTTAAACTCTTTTTTGTCTTTTACGGATCATAAAAGTTTTACCACCGTATAGCATATAATTGAATCATAAAATAAAATTCTATTGTTTTTTAATAAAAAAATAAAAAAAGAGTTTCAAGAAACAATCATTCAATGAATCAGTGATGTATTGTAATGAAATTCGAATAACGCAAGTGTATGTTGATTATACGTACACACATGTATGTGGGATTATATAGGAAACTGCATTTGTAGCGATTTCCTTGCTCACGTGTAATTTGCGCGCTGTGTGCTTACGTAATGTAAAAAAACACGTGATTTTAAACCTGTTCACTTGTCTAGCTACAACGAGATTGACCATATCATATGGCAACGAGTACTTCAACGCGTAGAGCCGATGAAAAATCTTGTTAATGAGACGCGTGAAATTTTCAGACAAAACTCACATGTTACAAGGTACCACGTAAAAATTTTTTTGACGTGATTGTTACAAAATATAAATGAAACAATGATCAAAAGTTTTTTCGAATAAAAATTTTTTTTTCTCTTTACTTTAACAATCTTCATAGAGATCCTTATTATCCTTACAAAGTACTACACGAAACTTTTTTTCCAGATTTTTCAAAATAGAAAAAAATAGCACAGCTGTAAATACTGAGACATTAGTACCGACTATTGATGTAAATTATTGATGTAATCATACAGGCTATCATTAAAAAACGCAATCATCTTTCAATTCCAAGTAATAAAAATATTCATACGTACAAGAGTATACGTAAAATGAATCCTATTTTCACCAACACAGCCAGCGACGGGAGTAACAACTAATACACGAGTCCTGAGCACGAGTTGCGTATGAAGTTTCTTCGTTATATTTTGGGCGAAAACTACGCAAGAAACTTGCGATGAAAATAAATTTTCTCCACGGCAAATTAAGTTTCAAACCTCGTTTGTATAACTTGACAATCAAAACTGAAGATGTAACCCGAGACTCCGTCGTAGCCTTTCTCCCCTTGAAATTCCCGCGCTCCTGCTCAAGTAAGTCCGTCTCAAAAGCTGACACCGAATTAAGCGATGAGCGGCAGATAAGCATACATACGAATCCAGCCGTAACGAGCAACTTTGTCGGCATATTTCAACGCAGGGAAAATCAAACGCGAACATGACGCACCCACGAGCTCAACTGCTAAGGTGTTGGTATGCGTTAATTTAACGTGTTTATGCCTGTGTTTGTACTTGTCGGAATATATGTCGCAAGGGGCTTATGATTAATCGGAGTAACGCGAAAGCTGCCCCAACACGACGTCTGAGCGACTATTATACTACTTGACGTGTAGCAAGAGTTGGATGTATATACTTACGAGCAGTTCCGCTAGAAAGTGCCGGGCATGAGTGGAGCTGAAAAAAAAAATTTTCCACGTGTATCCATATAAATGTGGGAAAAGTCGTGGAAACCTTTTTTTTCCAAGTCTTAATGCACGATATTTTGGAGTTGGGACTTTTTTTTGGGTTAATAACACGAGATAAAATGCAAAATACAGGGCACTTTTTCTTTTACGTGCGTAAAAACTATGGATATTACGCGAAAGTGTTGTTACACGAGAATTGAGAAAAATTTTTTATTTCCTATCAGAGAGGGGGACCTCTTGCTCTTAAGATTTTTTTCGTGGAATCGCTCATATATACGCACCCATACTCGCTTTCTCCGACCGAGTGTAAGAATTTTTTTTTCTTTGTATATAATTATCTCAATTGACGCTTGTCCCCTCCGCTTCGCCAGCACGTGAGTCGTGCGGGTCTCCTCTCGGTATTTTGTTGTACCATATGTGGGTATGAATTTAAAAGTATCAAAGAAACTCAAGTAAGCACCTTTTTTCTCATAGAACAAGTACTTAACGACAATTTCATCAACTTCAATTTCAACGTGGGAGTGTGCACCATAAAACAAATATGTAATCATTTTACATAGATTCTTTGACTTTTGTAGTAGACTTGGAGTCTTGACTTTCAGGTTCACGTAAAGATAACGTTAATCTATGTGTTTAAACACCTTTCGCAATATTTTATCAAGCATCAAATAAAAGCGCGCAACGTTTTTGTACATCTGATAAAAAACACACGGCCATTCGCTGATAGTAAAAGAAATAATAGCGAGAAATAAAGATGCGCATCCTGTGTGTATCGACGATTGTCTTGGACTAGCAATAAAAATTTTCCTCGCGAGGCTTAAAATGTACCTTTGCGCTCGTTCATTGCGAGACGATTAAAAGACAGCAATAAGTAACTGTTTGCTTTCTTCTGAGTATCAGGTGCAAAAAAAGCTATTCAAAACAAAGGCTGACTCATCAATCTATATTTACAAAAAAAAAACAAATTCAAGTAAACAAGTATTTTTTTTACCAGAATTAACAGAACTTGAATATAGTGCGAATGATATTTTTATTCTATTTTATTATTAAGAGTATTAGCAAAACAATAAAAACCTTTTTTTGTTCCCATGAAAAAAAAATTCTGATGTATTTTGATTAGAAAGACTAAAGTTATGAAAATCGAACATTTCATCACATGGTATTGTTTATTCATACCTATAAAAAATACACTTATAAAATTGTAAAAATTCAGGAAAACACCTTATTATCCACCTATGCTTTCAATTGTTATTAACACGTACAAAAAAAACACATTAACTAATTTTCACACCGAAATTCAGTATGGCTTGGAAAATTTCATCGATGTCTGAAAAGTAATCCAGACACTCGCAGCACTACCATAAATAGTCCCGGAGGATTTTTCCATTACCACACGTATTGTATGCTTCGTCGCGAGGAATGCCGCGTGTCCCGTACACGATGAAAGGCGGATCGGAATCTACAGTACACGAGTATAGCCGCATCGCTAGCCTATACAGGTTCTCTCGCCGAGACCAAGCACCGGTCGAGCTCTTTTTCAACTTTCTTTGCAAACTCCATGCATAAATTACCCGCAAATTAGTTGCGCGGAAATTTATCTCGCGAACTCCCGACTATCAGCTCCGTAGGACTCGGATTTTTAAAAAAACCCACGGGCTCTCGATCTCGTTACAGTTTTAATATCGAAACGCGGACTTTTCTCGATAGGCTTTCCTTCCATTCGCTTCCCAATGTATACGCGGGTTCGTTCGTCTACTCCCATTAGACCGACTTTGTCGTGTTTCAATAATTCATCGGAAATAAGTTGAGAGATCGACGCGTTCACATGGAAAACGTGAGCGAGTAGCCACACGAGCACGGAAGTGCCATTGTCAGTCCGTCGGTGTGATGTGTTTTTCGACCCGATCCCAAGTGTGCGTGTATGACCGCGTTGGAAATACCTTTTATCGAATGATGGAGCTCCTCGTGTTTACATTCGAGTGCAACGCAATGGGATATAACACGTGTGAAAATGAATCACAGCGAGTGGAAAATTTTCTACTTCCTGTAAAAGATTATTGTTATGTGTCCGACAAGGACAAATAAAAGACTAGTCAAGTAAAACTATACGTCTTACGAACCTCAAAAAGTGCACACAATGGTTTACTGAATGTATTATTAGTTTCTCAGTATGGTGGATTGTATTTGTTTTTGTGTTGTTTTTTTTTTTTCAAAGTGAACTGTCTCCCACTTTCTATGCATGACCGATAGCGTACGACGTAAAAAAAGCCACGAGTAGAAACAGCCGAGTAGAGTAAGACGAGACGACTATTAATCAAAAACGCATTGCACATTGCAAGTGCCGTCGAGAACGTTACGCGCCCCAACGAGTGTCGGTTTCTTGGTCACATTACCTATAGATTTCGGAACGTAGCGACATCGGCGACCATAGGACAGATCGAGCTTTTACATACAAAGTCTACGAGTCACCGAGAAACTTCGCACTCGCGAAAAGTATATTAAATCGCACAGATGCTGCACGTATAAGTGTACGCTCGCGACGAGCTAGCGGTGCTGACTAGCCGGCTGTCCAAGAGAGAGAGAGAAAGCCGTACCGCCGACGTATCCCTACTCTACCGCCTCGTGCTCTTCACGCTCGCCGTACACATTATACCTCTTTTTGTTCGTTCGTTTCTCGTGTGACACACACCTACACACACACATACTTTGGTGGGCACGCGATTCAGCGCAGTTGTTGCGCGATCTGTTGCATAATCCACGCGAGATGAAGCCGGTCAGATGTGGCCTTTGGAGCCGATCTCTCTCTCTCTCTCTCTCTCGAATTTCGTGATAAACAATATTTGGCTTGGTGCGCGATTAACCAGAATTGAGAAGTCGCAGTTCTCGCTTAATCGCGCATTTTTGTCGCGTGTGGCATCATCGATGATGTGACCAATTGCACGAGAACTTGGGGAATTTTACCTCACGATGCGCGTGTGCAAATTTGCCGGAGAGATATTTAATTCATCCAAGGTTTTTTTTTTTTTTTCTTTCCTCCTTCTGCATTGTAGGGTATTTTTTCAACGTTTTTGCTTCTTTTGGATATTATCGTCGATGCTGGGGCATGTGGCATGTACCGTTTGGAACGTTCTGGTGGGCATACATCACGTGATTACAAAATCATACGAATAATTTTGGCCGCTATGATAAACGCAGCGTCAAAACAATTTCAATCGCAGCTGTGGTTGCGTTTGTCTTGCAATTTTATTGATTTCGATACAACCACGAGTCAACGAATCGTGTTTTTGCAGAGTTAATCCAATCTAATGGCACAGCTTTTTATTTGAGAACAGTAGGAAATGCGGCGTTTAACGGTAATGAGATTTTAAATGGCTCCCTTTGGATTTACACGGAGAAATTAATACAAAGAACGACCTTGGCTCTCCCAACGGAGTGATTGTGGAACAGAATGTTCAGATCGATACTTTTTTTTTGATGTGAACACGTTGATGCGTGTTCCATCAGGCTGCAAACAATGTACGTGATGCGGAAATAATAACGCGATTTTTCGTTGCTCAAGCAAACCGTGGGAATGATTGATTCTGATGCTATTGTTTTGAAATTTAAGAAAGTGCAATTCCATTATTGATATGTTTCCGATCGAAGCCTCGGGGCGTATGGATTTGTACCTCTCGTGAACTTTTCAACGAAATACTCACTGGAGTAGTTTGTAAGATTTTAGATTGTGTGAAAGCGACTCGGAGGTTTCCCTCTTTTGTATTAAAACATCAAAGAAATCCTAATAGTACGTCGAACAACTACCTCACATTGCATTAATTCCTACCTTCCAATTTGGGATTGGGTTAAAATAAAAAAAGGATTCTCTTAATCGAAAAACTTTCTTTATAAAGTTTAATAGATATTGTACAATGTGAATACATGGTCTCTGCCTTAGTTTTTTAATATCCACAATTTTATTACACCAGCTCCAAGGCCTCTTGCATCGTCTCGTGCGGCCAGGATACGATCATTACAAGTTACACGTACGATATACGTACGACAGTTGATTATAATTATGAAACTGCAACATGATGTTATCCAATATTTTTTCACCCAACCTTTCAAGTCAGCTGGCTCGTCCCTCACCACTTTTGAGCAGAAACATGGACATTAATGACATATAGTTTCGCAACAAGTGTGTCCAGAGATGTCACTTCGAGGTAAACAGGCAGAGAAATCAGTCTAGAGTTTGCAAAAAAAAACGCCAAAGGGCCCCTCGGTCGTCAACAATGAAAAAGTAATTTAAACCCCCAACGCGAACTCAAAACGATTTACAACACCGAGAGATGAGAAAGGGGGTGGTGGTGGAGGTGAGCCCAAATGTACCCACGAATCCAACCCCGGGAACATGCGAGGGGTGCATTCCGACGCGTCCCCGAGACGAGAAGGCTGGTAGGTTATGCGACCGCATGGTCCTGTATACACGTATGTACGGGCAGATAGAGAGAGAGAGCACTTACGCAAATGTCATTAGAGGGAAGGAAGTGCGGGTGAGGCAGGACACAATCATACTCGACGACGTCCCCCGAGTTGCAGTGCGGTGTAATTAGCTCGTACTTACTCACCGGCCGAGGCATGGAGTTGGGCACGTCAATTGTGTTCGCCACCCCCCCATTCCTGCCATTTGCGTGTGTGTGTATATGTGACATATATTGTACAACGTCCACATAACACGTGCGAATAACTAACGACACAACAGTGAGAGCTTTTGAACGTAAAATTTGCAATCTTACGGTGAGTGCCTCAAAGTGCGTGCGTACGTACTAGGTATTCCCCGAGTTATTAGTCACGAGGTGATTGTATATATCGAGAGATGCAAAGTTTTCAAGTGCCGTTTTCGAGAAAGGACTTTTGATGTAGCTTTTTCTTTCGGAACTGTAGTCCCATCTTGCTGCAATGCCATCAAAAAGTTTTTTCCTTACTTCCTACAAGTTGCCGATCCTTTTTCATCGCCATTTGTATTCTTTTTGGTTTTGGAGAGAATTTTACCATTAAAAAATTTACTTGGCATACCGTTGGATGCAACTAATGTCATAGGAACACTGATATACCTTGTTAAGAATATTTTCTATCACACGCCAACTTGTGTAACACTCAACATGTCATTATTACAATAGATCAACGCCATTTAGTATGTGTACACTTATTACATATTAAACTGTGCAAGCGATTATCATAATTGGACTCGTATCGAAATTTCCACAAATACTTGGCTGATTATTTATTCTTTGTGCCGCAAAAGTAATAAACAAAACGCTCTTTGTTTATATTTCGTGATAACCACCCGAATTCCGTAAAATAAGGATTCTTCGAGGCTACAAAATGAATCTTTGTTCCGCTCCACCTGCACTGGCGCGAGAAAAAATTGGCCATACTATATGAGCTCGAATCTTGATTCCGTGCGAGTTTCATATTGAAACGTTTGCCCCCCCCCCCCCCGTCCTAGATGGGATTGTTCCCAAAACAAGCGGGAATCAAGTGAAAACGAAATTGAACGTCCGAGCGGCGCTGGCCCTAATTTTCCCGGCTTTCCTTTTAACGAGAAAGAGCAGCCCGCGAAAATATCATTACGAACGCGATGACGTGAAATACCAGAAGTTTCGTCCCTCCCTCTCCGCTTCATTAAACTTTGTCCCCGCTCTAGAGTTTCGCCCGAGACGAGCGAAAATACCCCGGTACCGCTGTTTTTTCTACGCGCGATTTTTTTTTCCCCTCACCCCTTCGTAGAACAGGATTCTATGCGTTTTCATCCTCGTGATTCCGTGAGGTTTTTTTTTCCCTACTCTACGCTTCTCAAAAGATTGAAGTTGAAAACTCATCTTTTTTCCCCCCTTTTTGTATGAATTAAAAAAAAAAAAAAATCTTCCCCCAACGATTGATTCTCGACTCGCTCTGCAGTCAACCGTTTCGACATTCCTCGAGATGTATATTTTCAATGTGCAAGTTTTGTGAATATCAAGTACAGACACTTTTCCCCCCTCCGCCAATTTGGCGATCGAGAGTATCCAGCCACCACTATAATCTACTATATAGTCTCCGTTGGGCCGTAGTACCAAGGAGTTCACGAGGCGCGTGTGAATTGAAAATTAGCATTGAAAAAGGAAAAATTGGCACCTCGTTTCTACTTCCGAAGCGAAGAGACGTGGCATGTATATATAAGTAATGACGCATACGACGCCACTTACGTTACCACACTTACCCCATACGGAGCATAAGTACACCTCCGTTTACCTGCCAGCGAGTTACAGCGGTAATTTGATTCTGGTACTCTGCACACGCGTGGAAAGAGTGAGGAAGGAGGCAAATTATAGTGCCACACTGCGAGGTTACCTCGTTCAGGTGCACGAGGGTGCTGCTGGTGTATTAGAGGATAATGTATATTATAATATCGGGCTGGATCGGGGCTGCTTTGAATGGCAAGTAGGTGGCCCATTAGGCCGCACTTTATCGCCTCTTCGCTCAGGAGGAGGAGGAGCGAGTGTCTATAGCTGGGGAGCATAAGAGGGTCTTTGGGGCTGGGTGTAAGCGCTAGGGTGATTAGTGCGGGCCTACTTATGCGCGAGCGCGGGGAAATTTCGTTTCGAGAATATATCCCTCGTTTGTCGAGTGGGTTGTGAAGTAACGTTGGTTTTTCATTTTTTTTTTTTTTTTTTTTTTTTTTTTTTTACGTAAGGCTCTCCAGCCCATCTGACTGTACATCATTTCCTGTACGACAAATTAATATCTCAAGAGTAAAACAAAGCAACAATATAAAATTGAGCTCAAATGTACCGATTTTACTTCATTGGTGAAGTTTTTCTTTCAGCCTTCAAAATAAGACGTACGAAAATATTATGTGCATTAGCCAACTGTCAAACTAAACATCTACTTCTGATGGTGTCTTCAACTTCAGATGCACTCTAAATGCGTGAGTTGAATGTTAAAAATTTTTTATGTTTGTGTGACAAAAAATAAGGATTTTATCGTACAAATGTCCCACCAATTTATCTGTGAGGAAAAAGAATCAACTCGACGCTGTCCTTATTAAAAAGGTAATTCACTCACTTGGCGTTGGAAAGTAACGTTGGCACGTACCGACAAGTGTTTACGCTAATCTTTAAAAGAGCATCTTGTTTTCTCAAATCTGCATCAATCTGGCCGGCGTTTCGGAGCGTGAGACGAAGCTCGGCCCTAATTCGAGCTCAAAGGCGAGCGGAACGGTGTTACCTCTGATGAAAAAAAAAAAAAAAAAGATTCTCACATGTAGAATGATTGCGCTGGCTCTTGAGACCCCGGGGAAAATTTACGAGATTTCTGGAATGAGCTTTGATGTGTATACGCGTGTAACGTGTGCGACTCTGCGTCTTTCCATGGGACGCTTGGATTACCGGCAAAGAGATGACTAATCTCGAACAAGACATGCTTATGGTATGAATAACATCAAACTTCTATCATAAAAACACACTCGGTGCTCTCTCTCTCTCATTTTGTAACTAACCAGAGTTACCACGTAATAGA